ACTCTATTAGTGTTAAGCACATGGTAAAGAAAATTTAAAAGTCCACCACTTTTCGACTGAATGAATGAATGAATGAATGGCCAACTTTAGCCATTGCAAAACCAATGTCAGGATTGTCCATATGGTACACACACACTGGCCGAAATATTTTTCCGTCATTCAAACAACAACAACAACATCAATACACTATGGCCTTTGACCTTAAAAAAAAGATTTTAACGACGGAAAACGAAATATACTCGTACTTTTTTTTACAACAACAACAACAACGTAGAATAAACGTAGAAAGAACAAGACAGATATAACAATCTTGAACAGAGTCAGAAAATTTTCTTATAAGTGGCCATTTGGTCAGAATGGTAATAAAAAATAAAATTACATAGATTTTTTCTTTCCAAAAAATTGGTCGTCGAACAAAGATGATGATGATGATGGTCAACAGTGCGTATCGATTGTTGTTGTTGTTGTTGATTTCTTTGGCTGGTGGTGGTTATAATCATCCTGATGATGATCATCATCATCATCCGAAATATAACCTATACACACAGAAAAACCATACTGAATGGTCATAATACGTGTGTGTGGAAATAGAAAAGAACGTAGAAAAATATTTTCCAAGATTGAGCAAGCAAAGGACAATCAGAAGAGACCAATGCTATGCATGGATGCTCGATTGGAATGGCTGATATTCATTTTCGATGTCGATGTCGATGATGACGAAGAGAAAGAGAGAATAAAAAAGCGGCAACAAACAATGATGATGGTGTACGGAAATGTGCACCATCATCATCCTTGATAATTATCATTATCAACAACAACAACGAAAAAAAAATTGTTGTTGTTATTATCGTTTCGGGTAAAAAAAGAAAATTAGATCGTAAAAAATGTGAAGAAAAAGAAAGAAAAGAACAAACATTGTAGAGTGGTGATGGTAGTATTCGAGAAAAGTGGAGGGGAAAGGTCATTAATGTTAGATCAGAATGACATCATGAATTTTTTTTGGTAATTTTAAATTGAAATTTTGTTTTTTAAATTCCAAAAAAAAAAAACACAGGAAACGGAACATATCAAACATGATTAACAAAGCGAGCGAGCGAGCGAAATTTAAAATGATAAAACAAGAGGACATGACTGAAATGATGACAAATTCCGATCCGGTTGAGTTGATATTGTCGTCGTCGTTGTTATTGTTGTTGTTGTTTTGTTTCTGTTTGTTTGTTGTCGTTTGGAATTTTAAAAACTAAAAACAGAAAAAAATTAAAAGCAAAATTCTTGGTATCGCCCATCCGACAATTTGAAAATTTTACTTTTTAAATGAAAAAACAAAAAATTCAACAGGTGACAAACGAATTTCCGTTCGATTCTGATATGGATCAATGATTAATTCTTTTTGTTGGTAATTCTTGAAAAATTTTCCGAAAATTTTACGAAAAGTTTCCAAGTTTTTATTTTGATAAAAAAATATCGTTCGTTTTCGATTTTTTTTGGAAATAAAACAAATAATAAACCGTTATAGCTTATGGTTAAAATAACGTTTTAGAAATTTCTCGAATGAATAAAATACGTTAAAAAACATAGACTACAATTGTGTCGGTATAGCAAATGGATCCATTTTGCACCTTGACCTGTGAATGATTAAAACGAAACAAAAAAGAAAACAAAAATTGCCGATGGGTATATCGAAGATGATGATGATCATCATCATCATCATAAACACCCGTCATCTATGGACCATATGGTCCATATGATTCGATCTTTTACTTTTGTTTCCTAATTTTTTTTTTTTGGTAACAAAACTGCAGATGTACATTGACGACATACTCACATACAGACAGACAGAGAAAACGATTGAATACACGTGCCAAATGGTGGCACGTGCCACTATTCATTATTATTTGATTACCATCACCTTGCCAACATTCAGCAACATGAAAAACTTAGAAACAAAAATCGATCCAAAATCCATACACGCGTATTATGGTTGCTATAATGGTTTCTGGCTGTCACATATAATAATCATCATCATCATAAATAAATAAAAAACATAACAAAAGCCAGGTGTGTGTTTTTTGGATCAATATGGATTGGTTATTTATAAAAAATTGAAGCATCTGGAACAACAACATCATCACCCGAGCAGATTAGATGGAGAAACCAAGAAAACAAAAATGTTTTTTTAGATGCTAATAGCAGCCGGTGTGTGTTCGTGTAATTCCAGGTGTACCGGGTGGTGCGGGTGCATCTGCATAATTTTTTTTAATTCGCTAGTTAGTTAATTTATTCATAATCAAGAAAAAAAACGAACGGAAGATTATCGAAAAAACAACAATTAACAATTTTAAAATGGAAAAAAAACAGCAGCAGCACGTGTAACCAGCAGCAGCACGCGTTTTGGCTACCGATTCGGTCAAAATATATGGATATGGATGAATGTTTTTTTTGGCGACATATGGACAAAATCTTTTTCTTTTTTTTGGTTGGTGATTTTTTGAAAGAAAACTACCAGAGTAGATAGGTAAAGCAACAGATGTCAAACGTATGTATATTGTTAACATTGAAATTTTTGCTTATCACAATGATGATGATGGAGAAATTGGTTGACATTATAATCAAGGACATTTAAATTCAGTCATTAATAATGGAGAAATAGCGAGAGAAAGAAAGAACTGAGATAAAATAGAGAATATAAAAAAAACGATGACACATTCAACAGGTGACATGACATGACATGACATTCAATAATAATAAACAAAACAAAACAAAAATGTATTGAGCAAGATAGAAACCCGAATCAAACTTTAACCAAGTGGAACGATAATGATGATGATGATGATGATGATGACATTTACCATTTCGTTCACCCATGATTATTCATGCGATTCAAAGTTTGTTGGTACCATTATTTTTTTCTGATTATCATCATCATCATCTTTAGATACACGAAATACGCCATACAATGATTTTTCAAGTTCTGGATATTCGATGACGATGAATATTCGAAAAAGATTCTATTTCCATTTGTATACATAAATGTGTGTTCGAACTATTTCCATCCATTTTGAAAAATTGAAAGTTTTCTCTTTATTTCTTTGCTTAGATGTCTTCTTTTTTTCGATATTGAATTTTGTTTGTTTTTATTTCATTCGAGATATATAGTTCCGGTTGAATTATTTGCATCATCATCATCAATGAATTGAGAAAGATGTAAAAACAATTACGATGGTGATGGTTGTTTAGTCCGATTTGTTATGAAATAATGGATAAATATCGTCCATACGTTTGGCTGATGATTATACTCACAGGTAAACAAAGAAAGATTATTTTTTTTCTCGAAAAAGCTATTGACATCATTAGTGATGATGATGATGATAATGATGATAATTAAGATGGAGTGAAAAAACAAAAAAATTGGTCAAAATTATCTTCATTCATTCATTTGTTTTTTGGCAAGTTGCTCCAAGTCCAGGATTTTCCTCGAATGAAAAAAATAAACTTTAAAAAAAAAACAGTAATTAGTAGAAAAAAACGGTCATTTTTTGTTGTGTTTACCTTTTGTTTATGTCTTTTATTTTTTCGGGAACACTTTTCCGTGATGTTCACTTATATCCCCACATCAGGCAGTAAAAAAATGAGCTCAGAATAACCGGATTAACATTATAATGACGTTTTATTTTTAGTCACACGCAAACTGTTTGATACGATTAAAGTCGAAATAGTGGAAAAACGGGAGAATTAGCAAAAAAACAATTCGAATCTCACGAATTTATAAAATAAATAAAAATTTTTTGAAAAATTCTTTTATTTTTTAAATTTCTATTTTCAGTCATTTTGTTTGTGATTGTTTTCATTGTTTTGTTGAATCATTTTATCATTTTAACGCATCGATGAATTTAACTTACAAGAAAATATAACCAACCATATCTAACATCAATCCAATCGATTTTGGTATTTGGTTGATTGATTTTTTCAATCATTAATATTGATTTTCTTTCAATCCATCCATCCATTCATCTTTGTATCTATCCATCATTCGAACGAAGACACTTTTTTAATTGACAATCATTAAATTGAAATTTATTTATTTTTTCGATTTCGCAGCGGAAAATAAAAGTTTTTTTCTCTCAACCGACGATGATGATGATGAAAAAACAAAAAAGAATCATCGATTCACAGGATTCTTTATTCTGTTTATATTTCATTAAGATCATTTCATTCGGCTCACACACCTGAAACATTCTAAATTTTATGATCCATATCACAATTTTCGTCGCTATGTTTTGAAAGATCAAATAACGATGATCAACAGGTTATCATTATATACAACATGATATACGATATATGATATCTCCATGATGTTTCGATTGTTTTGTTTTTTTCATCTAATTAAAAACAAACGAAACAACAACGAAAAAAAACCAGATTGAAATAGACAAGGTGTGTTTGTGCTTGTTTTAATATGAATACAAAATTCAAAATTAAATGTCTATATCGATTGTTGCAACCATCAGACCAAAGAAAAAAAAACAACCAAGCAAACATATTTGATATGTAAATTTATTATTTTATTTTTTCTTGTCTACATTTAAATTTATATGGTATGTTGTTGTTTGTTGTTGATTTTTGGGTATTTAAATTTCAATTTTTTTTTCTTCAAACTATGATGACATGCATAGCTCTGCTTGTGAAAAAATGAATTTATAAATTAACGCAACATGTGAAACAAATGAACAAAAAAATAAATACACCGCCTACAGACAATGATGTTTGATGATTAAATTAACCAGTGAACAGGAAAACAGAAAACACCCATATATTTTAAATGTAAAAAAAAGATGCAATGAATGAATGTGGATGTTTTACAACAAAAAAAAACTCAGCCCACCCTATTTGAAAGTGAAAGTGTAATTTTCGGTCTGATGGTTGGTGGTCATTGTGATAAACAACAATTTTTCTTTTGAAATATTTTTTTGAATGGGATGTCTAAAATGAAGCAATGATTGTTCCAGACCAGGATATTGTAACATTATTATGATTATGATGATGATAATGTAGACCACACAACAAGTGTATTTACATGACACTTTTTTTCTTGAAAAAAGAGATCCGGTTATTATATAATCTCTATATATGATGAATTGACGGAACAATAAATCTTTTTTTTTTGTTCAAAAAAATTATGATTTTGATGGCTTGATTTAAGTATTTATGGATTCTATTTTTAGCTGATTCAAATCAATTCATTCATTCATTCATTCATCATTATAATAATCGAAATTATTCGGTATACCGAATCCTTTATCAACATCGGATAAATCGATTTGAAAACGATTTTTTGACCAAGTACGTAACTGAAATATATTATCCGTCCAACGTTCAATAGCTGTTCGTGCTGTGCAGCATTCATTTTCCAATTGTTCAACACTAGCTGGATCATAATTCTGGAATTTGGCCAATTCCATTTGTAATTGTTGTTTTTCTTGCTCTAATTTCATTATATTTTCTTGTAGTTCAGCACGAAGTTTATTTTCATTCACTTGTTGTTGTTGGTTATTATCATCATCGTTATTATTGGTGTGGCTAATAAATGTCGACAATTCATCATCCAATTTTTTTGATTGTTCCTGTAGATCAATGATCAATTGTTCCAGTTTGTTACACTCGGTTAATTTCTATTCGGAAAAAACAACAAAAATCATAATCATATTTTTTTTGGTAAAAAAATTCGATCATTATTTATTTAGTTCTTTTTTTTTGTTCATTGTTATATTGGGGTTATACCTTTTGATATGTTTTACCTGGGAATGACCAAAAATAGGTTGATGTACCAATTTTGTCCGTATCGACAAGATCATCATCGACTAATGAATTCAATATATCTTTAATTGTTTGTGCGGGAATTCCTTTTTCTTTCGAGGCAATTTTTTCTACCTCTTTCAGAACGAAAGCATTTTTCTATTGGAAAAAAACATGCGATATAGAAATCGATGAAACATAAAATTCGTCTTACTTTTTCATGAAAAAATTCTAACAAACGATTTCGTTTTTCTTCTTGTGTTACTTTTTTGCCTTTAGACTATGAATAAAAATTAATTTTTAAATGATTGAAAACCTGGTCAAACTTACCATTTTTGAAACAAAACCAACGCAGAAAGATCATGTAAATTGAGATTTACATTCGAATGCAACACCGCGATTTCCGAGAAAAAAAAAAGAATCTTTTTTCGTGACCTGTTCATAAACGTTGTTTCAGTACATGCATGTTGTTTCGATCCGATACTCAAAATCTTTTTTTTGCCAATCTAAAAAACCAAAGAAATATGGATGATTAATTTGGGAGTTTTTTTCAGAAAAAGACAAGGATGGAAACCATCGAAAGTGATTGTAATAAAGCACTGGAAGATATTCGTGAAAATATTGGTACAGCTAATGCTATAATTATCGAACAAAAATTATGGCCATCCATACAAAAAACATATAAATCAAATAATTCGGTATGTAAAAAAAATCTTTCGTTTATTGAATCGATGATATTATTTTTAATGTTTTTTGTGTAAACAGAATCCAATTGTGATGAACTATTTTATTGGTTATTATAATGCAATGTATGAAATTATATTTCTAAATTCACAATCAAAAGATCCATATTTAAATTATAGCCGATATGGTTTTGAAACATCATCATTATCGTCTGCTGCCAATTTAAATCATAAACTCTTATACAATATTCATATTCGTCTTGGTGATTTATATCGTTATGGTGATTCATATGATAATGCTAAATATTATTATAAACGAGCATTACATTTGGATCCAAGACGTGGATTTGCCTACAATCAATTAGCATTAAGTACACCATTGACAAAAGCCTATCAATGTGTTTATTATTATGTTCGTGCTTTATATTCAACTGAAGAACCGTTTAAAGTTGCCGAATCAAACATTAAAGTGTCCATTTCTCGATTTGATTCTCCGTTGTTCGAAAGATTTCGTCGCCAATCAAATATTTCAATGAGTGATAATGCCATAACTATTGCTTATCCATCTAATGGACAAGAATGGTTTTATTTGGTTGTGATATCCATTCATTTTAATGATTTAAATCTAACACTTGATCTTCTATTGGATCAATTGCTCAAAACTATTGATTGTGATGATGAATCTTTACAATTTGATTATCTTCTTATGAGTTTGGATGTTGCTTTTGATTGGATACTAAAAGGTTTGTGAGAAAAAAAAACGAAAGAATTTTTTTTAATTTTTAAAATCTCAAAATTAATAGATCGTAACAATCAACTGGCCAACGATACCACTTCCACACAAAAAGCTCATTTATTGAATGATAATTTGAAAACGCTCAATGTTTGGTTACTTTCAAATTCCAAATTGAACGATAATATTGATGATGATCGAAAAAATGAAACCGATTGTAATATAGGATTAATACATAATACTATACTTAAAGATTTTTCACCATTACGTCAAATTTATGAACAAATGGAATATTATTATGAAACAGAAATGTATCGAATGGATAAACATCGTAAGATTTTAATCTCACGATTAGTGCAAAAATTACAAAAATTTTAATAAAATGTTTGTAAAACATTGATGATGATGATGATGATATTTAAATAAAAATATATTATGAAACCATTTTAGCTTTTGAATCGAGGTGATCGGGAAATTTCAAAATATTCGAATCATCTTTATCTTGGATTGATAAACGAGATTCCAGGAAATCAATTACCAGCTAAATGACAATGTAGAAATGAATCGAAAAAATAAAATTGTTAATTAAACTTGATTAAAAATTTTGCAAACAAAACATACCAATGGACAGAATTTATGGGCCACTTTATTCAATACCAATTCATATTGACCATTTTCATATTTAATCAGATAACATAGTTCATTATTTGATTTCATATCATTATCATCTACATATGTAGCACCGATTATGCTAACAGCTTGCAAACCATTATCGAACAATGTACCTGTTCCTTCATCACGTGATACCGAAATTTTATTATTATCATTATTATCATCAAAATTATTATTATTATTAACAATATTTTTATAGATTTTTCTTTTACAAAAATTTGAATCATTTTTCTTTTTTAAATTTGTTGATTCACGATCTAAATCTGACATGATTAAATCGATCAATTGATTTGGTTGTTCTTCACTTTTGGCCGCTATACGTTTTGATCGTCGTATAGAATTATCATCATTTAGATTGATTTCTTTGTTAGAATCCATGATAAGATAAAAAAATATTGTTGATTTTTGGATAAAATTATCAACAATTTTCAAATCAAATTAATTTAACCAAAATAAAAATAGCCATATGACTTTTTTTGTAACCGTTCATCAATGTCGTTCAATTATATTTGAAAATTGATTAAATGATTTTAATATTAATAAATGAACAATAAAAAAAAATTTACAAATTATGATTATTGTTTTACTTTCGTAAATGGTAAATGAATGACAGTTTTTTCATCAAATGTAATATGTGATTCAAGAAAATTAAATAGAATCTATAGAATTAGAAAAAAGAATATTATTATCAATTTTTTCATTGTAATAGATTATCAACAAGGATTACCTGTGGACAGAATTTTTGTGCCACTTTATTTTCCACAATATCGCATTGATTATTTTCAAATTTAATTACATAACATAGTTTTTTTGTTTGATTTGAATCATCAAGTTCGGTTGCACCGATTACTTTGATTGCTTTTATACCATAATCAAACAATGTTCCAGTTTCTTTATCCGGTTCGACAATTTTCTTATACAGTTTTTTCTGATTGTTTATTTGATGTTTAAAGATTTTATTTTTATTAACATTATTATTTGGAGATGATGATGATGTAGATGTGAATGATGAATGAGATACATCTAGATTTGGTAATTCATTTGAAACGTATTCATCAGATATTTTAGGAAAAGTTTCCTGTTTGTTGAAATCCAATAAAACATTATCATCACCATTCAATATATCTTCGGAAATATCTGGTGCAACTTCAATACTTATATCAACATTATCATCATCATTATCATCGACATTATCAACATCATTATCAATTGAAATACTTTTATTAGATTTATTATTTGGAATTTTTTGTCCATGAAAATGTTCATATTCAATATGTTCCGGTCTTGATAAACGTTTTATGCCACGATTTGCACGTTTAGTTTTTGGCATTAGTCGTAATTCATCTTCACGTTTACGCCAATCACGTACAGATCTTTCAGAAATATTAAAATATCGACTACAGGCACGATTACCATTAATTTTAGCATATTTAACCACTTTAAGTTTAAATTCAGCTGTATAGCTCATACGTTTTGTTGTTGATGATTCCATTATTCATTTTTGTTTGATAAAAATAATATTTCTGAAAAAAATACAATCAAAATGAAAAAATGATTGATCCACGATTCAAAAATCAAAACAAAATTCTGCCAAGTTGTTGTTGTTTTCTTTTTTTGGAACATTCATTGAAAACGTTTCATTTGACCCAAAAAAAAAGAGAAGAAAAGATTAAAAATGAAATCAATATTCAATTAATTTAATTTAATTTAATTTATATTTTTATAATTAAATCTTTTCAATGATTAGAAAATTAAAAAAAAATGAAAACAAAATTTTAAGGTAGATATTTTTTCGCTATATTATTGGATTTCTTTTCGAATGCTTTCGATTGTATTGGTGTATGATGAACATATAATGGATTCAATGCAAATTTTGTATATAATTCATACATTTCAAGAAAAAAATTCTTAATATTATTTTCATCAATACGTGGTGCATTATGTAATAATAGGAATTTAATTCTTGAATTTCCACCAACAAATGCTGTAACAAACCATTCATTAAATTTATCTACACATTTTAGATACATGTTCGGCGTTGTCCATGAATGTTCTTCAACTAGATCCAATGCAGCATGAGCAACAAATTGTGTTAGATAACGATGATCTAGATTAGGATCAGCTCCTTTTGTAGAATATTCCAATTCAAATAATGGATTATCCGATCGACCAACGATGACAAAATAATAGCTAAAACCAGTAACACTCATTGTCGACTTGTGCAACAACAACAAAAAAAACAAAAAGAGAATTCGGCTAAAATGTTGTTAATAATCAATGTGAAGCTACAGGAAAAAACAATAAGAAAACATCGAAATTAAAAGACAAAATTCAAATTTTAAAAGGACAATTTACCGATTCTGTTCGATTTTTGAGTCATCGTTAAAACGCCAGACCTGTCCTATATGAATGTCTATTAATAGTGCGCTTTTTTTTGTTCAATCAGTTTTTTCATCCGAAGCCGATCTTTGATTTTGAAAGATCAATTTAAATCATTTTAAATATGGATTTTCTTGAATATTCTGAAGCTCTTAAAGAAGATCGTGGTGATTTGGTATGTTATTATATCAATGATATGTTGATTTAACTTCATTCAAAATAATTGATAAATAGACTTCTGGACGATTAAAATTGGCAAACACTCAGGTTATATTCAAAAATCATAAAACTGGTAAAGTTGATAATCTTAATATCAATGATATAAAGAAAATATCATGGCAACGTATGGCAGCTGGTTATTGTATTCGGATTATGATGAAAAATGGTCAAGTGTTTCGATATGGTGGCTTCAAAGAACAAGACAAAGAAAAAATCGAGAAATTTGTTTCACAAAACTATGATTTACAGCTGGAAAATGTTGATTTTTCTGTAAAAGGTTGGAATTGGGGTACGGCTAATTTCGAAGGATCAGTATTGAATTTTGATCTAGCATCAAAGAAATCGGATAAAATTGAAAGAGCATTTGAGATTCCATTATCGAATGTTAGTCATTGTACGACGGCTAAAAATGAAGTAACGGTTGAATTTCATCAAAATGATGATGCACCAGTATCTTTGATGGAAATGCGTTTTCATATTCCATCGATCGATGGCACCGATCCTGTACAATTGTTCATGGATCAAGTATTATCCAATGCAAGCATTATACGTGAAACAGGTGAATGTATTGTCATCTTTAAAGAATTACAATGTCTTACACCTCGTGGCCGTTATGATATCAAAATGTTTCCAACATTTATTCAATTACATGGTAAAACATTCGATTATAAGATTCCGATTACATCCGTTCTTCGGTTATTTCAGTTGCCTCATAAGGATAGTCGTCAGATATTTTTTGTCCTTAGTTTAGATCCGCCGATTAAACAAGGTCAAACTAGATATCATTTTCTTATTCTTTTGTTCAACAAAGAGGAAAATATTTCTGTCAATCTTGGCCTGACTACTCAAGAAATCGAAGAAAAATATGATGGAAAATTATCGAAAGCAATGTCCGGTCCATTGTATGAAGTTATATCGAAAATAATGCGCGCTATGATTCAACGAAAAGTTATTTTACCCGATCCATCATTCTCGAAACATATGCCTGCCATTACTTGTTCATATCGTGCTAGTAATGGTTTAATGTATCCATTGGAACGTGGTTTCATCTATCTTCATAAACCACCAGTTCATATTCGTTTTGATGAAATTTCATCAGTCAATTTTGCACGTTCAGGTGGTTCAACACGTTCGTTTGATTTTGAAATCGAAACTAAAACTGCAATGGTTCATACGTTCAGTTCCATTGATAAGGAAGAATATTCGAAATTATATGATTTTGTATCAAATAAAAAATTACGAGTGAAAAATCGTGGTACTGAAACTTTGGAACCTAAAAACGAAGATGAACTTATCGATTCAGATATTGATGATGATGAACCGGATGCATATTTACAACGGGTACGTGAAGAAGGCCGTATTCGTGAAGAAGTTGGTGATTCTGATGAATCGGATGAATTATTCGATCCAGGCGAAGAAGGTGAAGAAGTTGCTGAAGAATTTGATTCGGATGCCAGTTCATCATCATCATCCGATGAAAATGATGAAGATGGTGGTGGTGGTAGTGGTGGTGCTGGTGGCTCAGATGATGAAAAAAAACGAAAAATGAAAAAACATAAGGAAAAACATAAACATCATAAAAAGGCTAAACATTCGACGGATGTTAAAAAAAGTTCAAAGAAAAAGAAAAAAGATGATAATAGACCAAAACGACCACAATCGGCATTCTTTATCTGGATGAATGAAAATCGTGAACGAATCAAAAAAGATAATCCAGGACTTTCATTAACTGAAATTTCGAAAAAAGCTGGCGATCTTTGGAAAGAAATGACAAAAGAAGAAAAAACTAAATACGATGAATTGGCCGCTCGTGCAAAGAAACAATATGAAAAAGAAATGCTCGAATATAAAGCTAGTGGAGGTAAAAGTGATGATGAAAAACCGGCAAAAAAATCGAAAAAACCTGCTGCATCATCATCATCATCGACATCGAAATCCCCGATTAAAAGTGGTAGTCAACAATTTAAAAGTAAAGAATATATTAGTTCAGCTGGTTCCGATTCCGATGATGATAGTGATTTAAAATCGGATAATGACAGTGGTAAGAAATCATCGAAAAAATCTAAAACAAATGAAAAATTATCGAAAAAATCTGCCAAAAAAGAAAGTAGTGACGAAGTAGAAGAGGAAGAATTGTCAACACCAAGTGAATCAGAATCAGATTAAAAATTTTTTTAAAAAAAATATCATTTATTTTAATTTGTGACCAAATTTTCATTATCATTCAATTTGAAATAAAATAATTTAAAAAACAAACAAAACAATAATTCATAACATATAATTTGTTTGGATTGGCAATTTTGTTAGGGATGAGTATTTAAAGAGGTCTTTCAGTTTTGTATTTAGAAGAAAAATAATTTTGTCACATATATTTGATAATTAGATCACAAACGAGTTATCTCTTCAACAAGATCATCTTGGTCAATATAAAATGAAGCTGGTCGATTATCGATTGATGTTTGATCGGATCGATTACTATCAACACCTTCATCACTATCATCGATTATTATATTTGATGATTGTTTTGAATGTTCATTATCGTTTGATTTTTTTCGGCTATTATTATTATTATTGTTATTAACAGATATGCTAACTGTGCGAAGATTTTTTTCATCATTATTTTCATGATAATCATTTGTAGCATTATTCGGTATTGATGACATACGTAATAATTTTCGACAATGAACTCGTTGACTAATACGATTACGAATATTTGATTGTAATTTTTTATGTTCTAATAATTTTTTCAATAAAATTTTAATGACCAATACACGGCCATTACGACAGATGGCTAAAAGGCAGGAATTTTTCGAATCATATGAAATAGAAAATATGGCTAAATTTTCAGTGAATTGTGTTAATGTATCATAATATAATGGTATTCCAGTTTCGAGATCACAAATATAGATAGAACCATATTTAGATACAATAAATATAAGGCCAATATAGTTATCACAAACAATATGTGTAGGAATGTCATCAAAATGTATGGATGTTTGATTCGATGTTGTTGATGATGATGATTGTGGTGATGTCGTTTCGTTTGGACATTTTTCTTGTTCCTGTTCATGATTATGGTTATGAGAAAAATTCATTGTACGTTGAAATCCATGCAACATAAGATGTTGACTTTTTATTGGACGATTTTTATAATGAGAATTTGGATTGGCCATTGCACTCAATTCTATTATATACAATTTCCATAAATGAATTGTATCACGTTTACAGGCAATCAATAAAATTGAATCATTGGCACTTCCTTCGAAACGATAGCCAACAAATGTGGCTACATGTGCATCAATACATTGGCTAAGTCCATAGGATTTTGAATAAATTTGTACTTTACCACAGATTTCATCTGTAATTAAATAAAATTAATGATTTACAATAAAATGAATTGATTAAGCTTACCATCATCAAGATAGAGTGATGTTAATGCCGACCAATATCCATATAATGGATCGATACAATAATCGATAATCTGATATTGTTTAAAATCTTCATTCAATGAAAATATCATTTTTGGTGCATGATCATGTAATGATGAAACATTGGGATTCATAAGTGACCAATGATAAACATCATCTTCGGTTATAATAGCAACTGAATCACTATTGATCCATGTCCAATATAGACATTTATTTGGAAATTGTACAGTACCGAAACAATCATTATCACGTATCGAATAGAAAGCAAGCCAATATTCATTCGATACGGCAATAATATCCTGTTCCGGACTGATTTGTGCACAATTTGTATCAAGATTTGTTTCACAATTAATTAATAAATATTCAAATGGATTGATCAATGTAATAACACTTTGTATCGATAATTGTTGTGCTAGTGATCTATCTCTTCTCATCATAGACATCATCATTGAATCATCTTTTGAACAAAATTGATTTTGTGGATTTGGATAAGGATAAGGATTGCGTGCGATTGGATGAGGGAGATCACGAATTTTTGATGTTGAATGTTGTTGATGATGAGGTGGTAATGGACGGATAGGTGTTGTTGGAAATGGTATCGAACGTATTGATGATCTTGATGATGACGATGAAGATGATTGTGATGGATCAACATTCCAATCACCACTAGCTGATGTTGATGATGATGAATAGAATGATGATGAATTTATTGGTGATTGATTCATAATGAATGATTGAAATGAATTATTATCTGATTGCATTGATGGTGAAGGCCATCGATGACTATTTTGTAGATGATGATGATGATGATGGTTTGGATGATGTCGACGTCCACTAAACGTATTGAACGGTGATGGTGTTGATCCACGATGATGACGATTATGATTATGATTATTATTGTTTGATTGATAGATTCGATGAAAACATGATATCCATTTACTACTGGTCATTTTAACCTGATTCCAGCATACATCATTGATTTTAATATTATAATCAAGTAGCTGTCAAAAAAAAGAAATAATGAAATTTATTGAAAAATCAATTTCATAAAAAAAACATACATTGAAAAGGGGCGATACACGTATCGCCTGATGTGGTTGTTGATTTGGTTGATCTTTCATGGCGAACATTCAATCATTATCTGATTCCAGAAATGGAAACCAAAAAAAAATTGTATCAAAAAAAAAACTAAATCAAAGTGGACGGGAGTTATTCGATTCAAAAAATAGTTTTTCTCTTCTCTTCTGTTTAAATGACAAAAGATAAAAGTGGAAGAAGATTACCAAAAATCAAAACAAATTCAATTCAAATATTTTTATTGTTGTTGCTGATGATCATTAGGGCTATGGATGATGATCAGTGGTAATATTTTTTTTGGCATTCATTTCAATTTTTTTTTTTCGAAGAAGAAGAAATCTAAAAATAAACAATTACTTAATAGTATGATATTCAAAGAAGTAGGAGTATGAATATTTTTTTTTCAATATTTTAAAATAAACTTGTTTTTTTTCCAACTTGCATTAAAGTAAATTATTTTGACAAAGTATTATGAACAAATGAAGGATGGATGGTAGATGACAATGGAAATGATAATGATAAAATTTTCAATGCCAATGATGAAGTGGAAATTTTTTTTTTGACATTTAAAAGATTAAATCAAAGATTTGTTATTCTTTTTTTTTCAATTTAAACATTCAATTCTTTGTTGTTGAAATCATTGATAACTTGGACAACATCGAGTTAGAGGGAGAGAGAGAGAAAAAATAAACAAAAGAACATCGTCATTTAACATTAAAATGGATTTTTTTTTGGTAATAACGATAATTAACTTTTATTGATTGATTAATCAGAAAAAAAATTAACAAAGCATCATCATCATCAATATTGCTAAATAGCATCAGTTGGCTCATAAAAATGTTTACAATGAAAAAAAAAATTACAGAAACTCAAATGTCGATTCCTAGATGGCGATAGCAAGCTTGAAAAAATAATTCAAATTTATCAAGAATTATTTTGAAAAAACAAAATCCAATTTAAATCAAGGTGAATCAAAAATAAAAAAATAATTTCCACTTGTTCCAATCGAACAAGTTACCGACATTCAACATGTTTTACAAATTGAACATACGCAATTCATTTATTCATCGGATTAATCGAATTGATTGATTGATTGATTAATGATCGTAATCCAAAATCAAATACAATAACCTTGTTTTTTTAACAAAATCAAAACGGAATAGAAATCCAAAAACAACAACCAAAAAATATGGGAGTTTCTTCATTACTTTTTCACTCTTTAAATTTTCGTTTTTTCAATGTTTCAATTTCCATCATAATCATCATCATCATCATCAATATTCGACCGACTACGAATACAAATGATGTGAATCCAAAGTTAACAAACAACAAAAAAAAAAGTTGTTCGTCATGACCTGAAACAACTCAAACTTAGACTCGATGAGGATGATGATGATGAAAATTATGTTCATTTGTCGGTAAAAAAAAATCGTGTATTGGTTTTGTTTTGTTGTTTTTTCGCTTTGCCCTCGAACATATTTGTAATGTAGAGCATATACACACTCTATGTCTGTCCTGGAACAGCTTGATTTTTTCAACATGGGATAATTGATGACAACAACATCGATAGCAATAACAACAGCTGCTATTTGTTAAAACAAAAGGCAACAAACTAAGGGCCCTGCCATATCAATATATATAGTGTATGTGTTTGTCGAATGTCATCTTGCTATGAATCAAAAAAAAAAAAAAAAATCATCGAAAATGATGAAAAAAAACGGGCTTGCCTTTCTTGATCACAATAATCTTCAAAGAAGTTCCGAAGATTTTTTTTTCAGTTTAGCGAAAAATATGAAAAAATCATAGAGAAACGAGTAAATGGAAACTAAGCTTCCATATTTGTATGTTAATAATTTTTTTTTCTTACAAACATTTTTCAAAGTCAACAAGGCTCAGGAAAAAAAACTTGTATTAAAATACTTGAATACAAGTATGTGTTGTTCCAGAAAAAAAAACAGTTTTTCCACTTGTTGTTCCAAAAAATATCGGTTGATGGTGGTGGAAACATAAATTTTCTTTTTCGTCAAGTTTTTCGCAATACAATTTTCATTATGTCCATGAACCATTCAATTCACTTGAGTTGAACTTCGTTCGTGTGTTTCTCTCTCTTTTTTTCGTTCGTGCGTTCGTTTGGCAATTGCCCATTAACCATGATTATTTCGTTCGTGGCGGATGATGATGATGATAATGATAACATGGCGCCCGTAATATTTTTCATTAGCAAAATTTTTCTCTCTTTTCTCATCGCCGACAACAGCGACGACGACGATGTCGACGTCGACGGCGGGAGTATGTGAAAATTGATCTTGGAACACGATGAAAAGTAATATAAAATGCTTAAAGTAAAAATCGTTCATTCAGTTTCACTATCGCATAAGTCAATCAATCAACAATAACAAAATGAAAATGTTTCTCAATGCCATTTACGAACAACAACAACAACAACAAGACTGAAAATGAAAAATGGGCCTCGAGTGTTATATATTTTTCGTCATTCAATTTTGAATTATCGTCAAGTACTGTTCATTTGTCATACAAAATATTCGCTCAATGCATAGCGGTTTTTCAACAATTTCGAGGTTGAACTCTTTTTTTTTCACCATCGATATTTCTTTATTTCTAAGTAAGCGAAAAAAAAAGAGTAAAAGTTAGTAATGAAAACGAAAATTTACGAAGGCAACTAACAATCATCATCCGAATATGATTAAATTATCTCACCCGACGACAATGGATAAAGACGCCAAAATGGTTAAAAACACTTCCTTGAAATGATAACGTTGTGGTGTGAAGCGATTGGTAACAAATTGCACGGTATTTTAAATCAAATCAGTCGATGAATAATGATGAGATTTACATAAAGGAAATCAAAAAATAAAAAATTAAAAAATTTGATTTTGATTTTGAAAAAAGGCCATACCATTCATACACACACATTACGGTCATTATTTTTTTTCCATGTTTTTCGAGTTTTCAAGAAGGATGTTGAAATCATTTCGATACCGGATACCGTTATTTTTTACGGCTACAACAAAGATAATGATGGAAAGATAAGCCGAAAGGAATAAAACAGGATGGGAGGTGTGTGTGTGTTTGTCATTTTTGATTTTTCACCAAATGACGAAAATGAAATATCTGTTGTTGTTGTTTTCGAATGAAAAAACCCCAAATAATCAATGATGATGGTGGTAACAAAAAAACCAACAACAACAACAAAATTAATTGGGTTGTTGTTATCGTTGTGGTTTTATTTCACAATCTCAAATCATATTTAAAACGGAAATCATAATAACAACAACAAGTTGTCGGTATGTGTCGCGATCACAAGAAATAGGATTATATTGAGGGGGAAGATAATGAGCAAAAAAAAAAAGATTTATCGGTGCGTCCGTTTTTTACTTGTTTGTCCATTTGTTGTTGTTTACTTGTTGTTTATGGTTAAAATGGAGTATGAAGAAATTCAATCAACGGAAATGATAATTTCATGAAAAGTGATGATGAAAAAATCATCATAAAAAATGAAAGATCCTTGTAAATAAAAAAATTTCGGTTGACGATAAATAATTTTTTAAAAAGTTTTGGGGCTTTTTTGGCTTTTAGAATCTTATCATTCGAAAAAGAAGATTCGAATTCTAACAACAAGAATGGACGAATGAAATCGATAGTATCGATAGGAAATTGTTATAACGATATATTTTTTTCGTTTTATAATAAATTACTCAATAACTGTGTTTATACAACGGGGGAAAAGGAAATTTTTCGTTTGAAAAAAAAAACGAAAAATCATTTCTTTTTTTTCTGTTACAACCAACCAAAAAAAATAAATAAACTAACCAAACCGACCACCATCAAATCAATCCATGCACACAGCAAAAGAAATACAAGCCATACAACAATTCTCGACAATTCAAGGCAATCGACTATTTTTTGTCTCGATTGTCGTCATCGAAAACGACCGCCGATTCAAACGATATCGTATTTTTTTTTTAGTTTTTAGTTTTGTTCGTCAAAACTACCAGCTAAAATGGGAAACAAAAAATTTACAGCAAATAAACGAAAAGAGAGAAAACATTCGACAAATTCGACATGAACAAAAATGATTATGAACATCATCATCATCAATATATACGGGCGTGGGCAAAATCTACATCCAAAAAAAAACGGCGAATCGAAATTGTTGAACAAAATGAATTTCGTTTCGTTTTTTCGTTTCGATATAACGTTTTCTTTCGTTGAAAGAATTTCGAATTGAAATGAAAGCGAGAAAATGGTTTTGGTCAAGGTTGTTTGATATGGACGGTTTTTTTCCGAATTCTTAATTCTTGGTATAGAAATACATCGATAGAGATACCGAATATAAAACAAAAATCATTTTATATTCAAATTTCATATTTTCATATGATTGACACCTGTTGTTCAAATACACATATCGGTATCCGTGCAACAATTTGCATACATTTTGACATTTTTTTTTGTTTTGTTTTGTCAAAATCATTATTCAAACTATTTTATTCGGACAACATTTTTTTTATAATTTTCATTAGTCGTAAATGAAACACCTGCTCGTTGCTACTGATGCTGCTCGATCGGATCTCTCTTTTTTTTTGCATTATTTCCAATCAACTAGCTAATTATTTAAATAGATTTGTTTGCTATGATATATATTCGATACGATTGACAAAATGATGATCATGGTACAATGATAATGATGATGTTCAAAAGAAAGAAAAATGTCCACGAATTCATCATCATCGTCGATACAAACACACTTACCATAACAAGTTTTACTTGCTTTTTTTTTGCCATTCGAAACAATTCGAATTATTTATTGAGTAACGCTATTTCCACAACCGTTGTTTCAATACTGTTATGAACGGTTTGTGTATGTTGCCGTTGTGTATATATTTTATCATTATACAGTTACCATGGCCATTTTTTTATTAATTCATAAATAAATAAATGAACAAACGGGATATTACTTTGTATGTGTTTTTCTTTTTGAATAATGACCATGATAATGGACAACAACAACAACAACAACAACAACGATGATGGATCTAAATTTTTCTAAAATTAATTTTTGTTATCATCGGGATAAACAACAGCGACACATATTATATGAATGATGATGAAGAATATTCGAATGTTTTTTTTTTTTTTGTTATCGGATAGTTCGATAACAAGAATATCAATCTTTTTTTGTTCAAAATCAATCAGTGTTTGTCCGTTTTTTTTTCTCTTTTTTAATTACTTTTTTCTTTCGATTTCTAACTTGATTGAAATTCCCATTCCAACCAAACCAATCACTTAATATTCGTGTAACCAGCCATTTTTTTTTGTTGTTGTCTAAGTTTATCCCATGATCACCATTTATAATCATCATCATCATTATCGTTAACATTGAACAACATCATCAACAACAACAGCAATTTGAATGATGATTTTGTGAAAATAGAAAAAAAATGGCCATTCATTCGATTTATTCGGCCACCATCATCACCACTACCAATAGTTGTCCAACAACAACAACACCGACCGATATCTACCGACGACGATAAAGTAAAGGAAAGTAACGAAAAAAAAATAAAAATTTTCAATAACAGCATCTCTTTTCTGTTGAATGATGATGATGGACAGAAATGGCAAAGAAAACATAAAAAGTGAAAGTGGAAGAGAGAGAGAAAGCGGTGATGGTTTTCATTTTTTTTAAATGATTGACAAACGAATATAGGAGAAAGAGAGAGAGAGAAACGAAATTCAAACGTCATCCGCATCTTTCGAAACTTGAATTAATTGTTGGACACGGACCATCATCATCATCATCATCATTATTATTATCATCCAACCAACCAAACATCAGCAACAACAACATTATTGTTGATCCGTCGTTGATAAAAAAAAAAAGCTCAAGCAACAAGTGTTGTTATTGTGTTGTGTGTATGTATGTATGGGCGCACCGTTTACGCGCGGGATTGGATTGTTGAAATTGCAAAACAACGAAAAAACGTAAAACGTAAAGCGCGCGCACACACGCAACGCCAACACGTTACACGCACGCAAACATACATTTTGGTAAAATTGAAAATTAAAAGAGAAAATTAAGGAATTCGGAAAAGAAATTTTTTGGAAAAAGAGAGAGAAAAAAAAGACTTGAATAATTTGTTGTTTTTTTTTGCATGACGACCGATTTTTTTTTCGTTTTGAAAACAGCGTCCTTGCGTTTTGTTACGACGACGACGACGACGACGACGATAATTTTCGTTGCCACAATTTTCTTCTGATTATCATCATCATTTTGCCATTTTGCCATTTTGAAATGTGTGTGTTTTATTTTGTGATAATTTTCGGGTAAAAATATTTTCCCGGAATAATTTCTGATCAATGTGTTTTTTTTCTGGAAATTTAGCGCTTTTTTCCATCAAGACACTTGTATCACATTTTTTTTTTTTGATGCACAAAAAAAAATCCGTGTGATTGGTTGGTTGATTGTGAGTTGGAACACAACAGCCAAAAAAAATGATTAAAATTGATGATTAGTTTTGATGGAATAGTGGTTAATAATTTTGTTATCATCATCATCATCATATGGTGGTAGTATTTGGTAGTGGTGGTTGTTTGTTGTCGGTTGCTGCTGCTGTTACCATTGAAAATTATCAATCCAATTCCAGAGAGAGAGAGAGAGAGAGAGAGAGAGAGAGAGAGAGAGAGAAAGTAAAAAGGACCAGAGAAAAAATAGAGAGAAGATTTCGTTTTTTTTTTTTTTTTGAAGATCATGGACCATACACACACACATGGGCACCTGACCATCAACAAC